TGTGTTGTATGTTTTTAACTTCCTGTTTATTTATTATTTGAAAGGTAGGAGATTTTTAAAAATATGTTATGTAAGATAGACATGATCTTTTAATGAGGGAAATAATTGATATTTCTGGAGAAAATCAAAATAGTTAAATCCTTTAGAAAGACACAGGGATATAGTGTAGACTGGCATACAGATATTGATTTATCTTTACAGAGAAGAATCAATGTCTTTCATTTTAATAGCAAGCAAAAATGTGAAGCTATGTTTGCAATTATAAAAATGTTTATAGATTTGATTCCAGCAACTCAGGGAAGCTACCAATCAATTAAGTTATTTGATTATTTCAGAATAAGCTTCCTATATTTTGAGGAGAATAATGATCTCCATGCTTCTTTAATATTGCTCCACCATTTCAGTGTTAGGGTGGAACTTCTTTCTTCTAGTATTACACTGTTTAGAAAATGAGAAAGATTTGATTTCACTTGAAAGACACAAACCATTGTAGACAGTTATCACTTGCTAAGGGGCTCTGGTAGCGTAGTGGTTACGAATCAGGTTGTGAACCTTTAGGTCAGCAGTTCAAAGCTGTTAGCTGTAATGTGGGAGAAAGATGAGGCTTTCTGCTTCCGTAAAGATTTACAGCCTAGGAAACCCTGTAAATCCTGTACAGGGTTGCTATGGGTCAGAATTGACTCGACAGCACTTAACAACAACAACCTCACTTGCTACTTAGCATCTCTTATCTTCTGGTAAAAATGAATAGCTCTTACTGCAATGCAAGCCTAATAGCAGCCCTCTTGTTGTTAAGTGCCCTCCCATCAGTTCCAATTTATAGAGGCCCTGTGTACGTTTTCCACTGTTAGATTTGAAATGCTGGCCTTATAGTGCACATTGACCTTGTGGTCTAGTGCTTATCCTACACCAGAATTCCAAAAATGAACATCATTTGAGGGAACATTTGGAGAAAATATTTTCCTAAAAAAGAAAAGAAAAGAAACGCTTCCTAAATCAGATCTAACAAGTAAGAATAATGTTAGTTACCGTAAACAACCAAGTGTTTCAATTTCCTATAGCAATATCATTGACTTTAGTTACCAAGTAATATAGAAAAACTGTAGTATATTTATTACAAAAACATTAAGCACATGTATAAAGTATCACATGTATGTGCTTGTGTACACACACACATAAAAGGAACTTCAAAAAGATTGTGGGAATGGAAATAAATGATAATGGCATTTTTCCCAAGAATTTTTTAAAGCCACCTCATAAACACCTATGGCCTCACAATGTTATTTTATAAACATAAATGTTTTGTTGATAGTTGACATAATACCTAGCTAGGATGCCAAGAAAAATAAGACATGGTCTGTGTCTTCAAGGGGCTCACACTTTCAGTCACGAGATAGTGCAGTGAAGCAATTGCTTATAATACAATTTTTTAGTAAAAATATATTTACATTACAAAGGACACACAGTAATAAGTTTACCAGAGAGTTCCTTAGAGGAAATAGTCTTAAAAGATGGGTTTTGAAAGAAGCGTATAAATTGAGCCAATGCCAAGAAGTTCTAACACATTTTAGTAAAAGATAATGACCTTTACTAAAAACAGTGCAGTGATTCCATAGGATAAGTGCTGGACTGTGTGCCACTAGGTGATCAGTTCAAGCATATCAGCCACTCTATGGGCGAAAAATGAGGCTTTCTGCTCCCGCAAAGTCTCAGAAACATAATACAGGGACACTATGAAATGAGTCATAACCAATCCAATAGCCCCTAACAACAAACTAATAATGCAAATGGCATTAACAGCTTAAAATGAAAGATCATTTAAAATTCAGATAGATGGACTTTAATAGATTGAATTTTATCTGAATCAAATGTATTTGTTTGCCATGGAAACAAAAGCATGTACATTTATTCATTTATAGCACATCTTGGCTATCAAATGTCTATTAAACAACACTTACATAATTTCTAGAAAATGGAAAATATATAATCTAATGAAGGTCAATGAAAATAATTACATCTTATGCCTGTGGTCCCATGCTACAAGTATTTAAATATATCAAATTGTTCCAAATTAGTTTTCTTTGCCAAAGGTAAGTATACTAGCTCCAAATTTTATATCCATTCTATGTTTGCTTGAAACATGTAAGATGTGACGATGTAGTCTTAATGAGCCTCATTTGCTTCTTACTATTTTTATATTATTTACAATGATTGCTGTGCAACAATTGTTTCTTTTTCCCAGATCTGGCAGTGTGGAGGATCCTTGGAGATTGTGACCTGCTCACATGTTGGTCATGTTTTTCGGAAGGCAACTCCATACACTTTTCCTGGTGGCACTGGTCATGTGATCAACAAGAACAACAGGAGACTGGCAGAAGTTTGGATGGATGAATTTAAAGATTTCTTCTATATTATATCACCAGGTAAGCAATTCTGACATATTTTTTACTCATGCTGAATATGTGTTTTATATTGCTCTTACTTCATTATTGTCTAAATAAAATGCAGTTTATTTCCATAATATTATAAAAGATCATGTTTGATAAAGCTAGACTTAAGAGATCAATTTGTACCTAAAGTGAGAAACATTGCATTGATCTCAAATGCCTAAATATTCTTTCTCTTCTTCCAAGCATAAATTTTGTGTGAGAAAAATGGAACAAACCATGCACAGAGATTGAAAATTATTTAATATTTATCACTCCATTTAAGAAATATTGATCATGTTTAATAAGAATACTTTTATAGCATTATTTCTGTAAATATCCAAAGTAATGAAATAATTAATAGATTTCATATAGAATGAAAATTGTGCCAGTGTTAAGGGGCCCTTGTGTGGTGCTGTAGGATAAGCACTGGACTGCTAACTTCAAAGTCAGCAGTTCAAACTCACAAGCCATTCCTTGGAAACCCTATACAGGGTTGCTATGAGTTGGAACCAACTAGAGTGCACTTAACAGCAACAACAAAACTTTTGCACAGTATTTAATGATATAGTAAATTGCTTATCAATAAATTTGTGAGTCAGCATAATAAACCTATTTCCATGGAGTCTGTTTTGAACCTATAGGACAGAATAGGAGTGCCCCATAGGGTTTCCAAGGTTGTATGGAAGCAGACTACTACGTCTTTCTCACTTGGAATGGTTAGTGGGTTCGAACAGCCAACCATTTGGTTAGCAGCCAATTGCTTAATCACTGTGCCACCAGGACTTCTAGAGAGCATAATGTTGTTGTTAAGTCCGTTGATTCTGACTCAGCGATCCTGTACAGAGTCACTGAGGAGCAGCTGGCGAGTTTGTGTGTGGCATTTTGGGTTAATGTGCTGGACTGCAAAGTCAGCTTGATCTGCAAGGTCGGTGGTTCAAGTTCAGCAGCTGCTCCTCAAAAACCCTATACAGGGTCTCTATGGGTTGGAACCGACTCGACAGCACTTAACAACATCAACAACCTTGTGGTTGGTAATCAAGTGCTTTTCCTACAGCATCACACCAAGAGTCCTTGAAATCATAATGTTGGTGGTGTTGCTGTTAGGTGCCACGGAGTCTGTTCCCACCCATTTTATTCAGCGTCCCTGAATAAGCTTTCTGAGGAGCAGCTTGAACTGCCAACATTGCAGTGCATTAACACACAGTGCCACACCAGGACTATAATATTTTATCCTGTATTTGTTAGAGGGAAGGAGAAGTAGCGAAATAAGAGTAAGTATAGTATATCACTGTTTGGTGGGGTTATGAATAATTTCACTCTTTGTTTAATCTTTTCTATATTTTTTCAAAAAATATGCATTACTTTTTTTTTTTTTTTAATTCTAAATCAAACAAACTATTAGCAGGGAAAAAATAAAGCCCATAAAGCATTGTGAGACATTTTCATTACCAGATGATGGTATTATACGTTATTCATTCTTATCTTTATAAATTCCTAAATATTCTCTAATGTCTGCATTACTTTTTTCAAAATTCTGAGGCATTATAAAAGGAAAATCAAACATTTTGAGAAGATAGAATTAAGAAGTCTCAGGACTGACTTTAAGATTTCAAAACCTAGAGAAAATAAAGAATACATTAGTTTAATAGGAATTCCACTTCACTGATAACATAATTTAAGTATACTATTTTTGATACTATGTGTAGCCCTGATGGTAATCAATGTCATTATTATGTAACTCATCAGAATAATAACAACAACAATAATATGTCCACATTCTCTTTTCTATAGAATAATCTATATGGCTTAGTAAAAGCAGTTTGGATTCAGGTTGACAACCTCTGATTTCTGAATGTACATCGGGCTATTAAAACTCTTCTTTTACTGAAGATTGTGAACAAGGAAATGAGCAATATGAACTTTCTTATTAAGATCCAGCATTGCTATATAAAGTATAAAAATGAGAACAATGTATATGTAAATGTTGGGTTGAAGAAGAACTTTTCCATACATTTTCAAGCCTCTTCCATGCCTGGAAGCTATGGCCAGGAACACTATTTAACACATAGGTTTATTTCTCTTTACAATAGAAACTCCATCCAGATGTTCCCAGATTTGAGTTCAACAAGATCATGTAAAACTTCAGTAAAGCAGTGACATTTATATAACCTTTTCATTTTCTATTCTTGATATTTTCTGAATTCAAATCAAATACTTGTAGAAATATAGAAGCTCAAATATGAATACAAAATAATGGAGTGAAGGAGTGTGTTATGTGAGATTACATGCAACTTACATTTAGAAGTATTAGTAATTGAGAATGACTTCAACCGTTGCATTAGATTCGTCCATAATGAATATTATTTTTAAAAAGTCATGTTAGTCTTTTGTAAAATTTTCCTTGAGTGAAAAAGACAGCTAAATGGTAGAATCATTTCTCAAACTGTAATGAAATGACAAGTTTTAGCATTTAAAGGGTGAAAAAGAAAGCCTACTATCTGGAACTAATGACTTTATGTTGCTCAGCAGGGACTGTTTGTAAATCCTAGAAAATGTAGTTTTCATATTACAATAAATATCATTTATAATGTTATTGTTCTTATAAAATGGGTTCATTTAAATCCAGAAAGGTACTTTGTAAAGCAGGAAAAGGACATTTGGGGAATATGTTGAATATATCTAGGAACTTCCTAAGGGTTATTTATGCTTATGCACAACTCAGAGAAAGCCAGCATTGCTGAGCATGGAATCTGCCTCCTATAATGTGGGTAAAATGGTAAAAACAAAGACCACATAACACTAAATTGCTTCCCAGTGGAAAAGGAAGATCGGAACCAACCTGAAAACTAGAGCTAGATACCTAAACACAATTCTAGCCCTGGGCAGCCTTCAAATCATCCAAAAACAGACGGAATATTAGGATAGTCAAGAATCTGTTATTTTTATGGTATCAAGCATTTTGTGAATGGAAAATTGCTTTAGTCATTAATAATCTATAGATATTGGTAGTGTCCTTCTCAACTCTTAATATCAAAATATTAATTTCTTGGATAGCCTATAAAATTTTTGATTTTATGTGTGTCCTCACCATTGGTAGTGGGTGAGTTTATAAGGGAAAAAGCTGCATACATAAACAAAACAGGAACATACAGGCTCACCACACTTAGAATGGTATCATTTACTAAATTGTATACAAATGCACATTTTTGAAAAACTTCCATTTCTTTCTCTAGAAGCTCCTTAACAGTATAGCTAGGGAAATTGTTACCTTTCTAGAAGTACCTCTGAAATTCTGTTAACTTATTTAACATGTCTTATAAGTAAACTCCATTTGTTATCCCAGGACTTTTTTTGCTAAACCTTGTTTCCCATTTAGCATAGTTTTTCATATTTCAATCTTTAAATATAGAGCCTTGAATTCTGACAGTGACTTTTATTTCTTCTAATATAATGTATACAATATTACCTGCCTGTTTTGTTGATTAACTTCATGGATGTTTCAACTTTTTTTTTTTTTCTCTAGAAAATGTATTTATTGTAGTGTTGATAGCAAGGTCAACCCATATCTGCCACTTATTATGCTGTCTTAAGTTTTGTTTTACTTGTGTCTATATTCAAAGATATCATGTTTGGTAAGGTGGAGGGTCAGAGAAAAAGAGGAAGACCCCCAATGAGATGGATTGGCTAAGTGGCAGCATCGAAGGACTCAAGCATGACAACAGTAGTGAAGTTGGCCCAGGATTGGGCAGTGTTTCATTCTGCTATGCATAAGGTCGCTATGAGTCGGTACCAACTCAAAGGCACCTAACAACAACAACAACAACAATATTCAAAGATAAACTGGTGTGGTGTTGTAGTATAAGCACTAGACTGCTAAGTTTGGGAGTTCATACCTACCTGTGACTCCTTGGAAACCCTATAAAGGGTTGTTATGAGTTGGAACCAACTGAACAACAACATGTCCAAAAAATAAATAAACTTTTATTTCCTTTGCCTGGCAACATTCCTGTCACTTTGTAGTCCTTGCAAAAATATTTGTTCAATAGCCCATGAAGAATAACTGAGTGAATTCATTTTTAAAGGAAGCAACTGTTGTCTCTTCCTTAGAGTTCCCCATGGACATTTGGTCTGTGCAAGGGAATCTCTTCCCAGTGGTTACATTTATGGGGAGACTTTGTTTTGCCTCTCTGCTTTAGCCCCTGGTTGTATTTTTTAGCCATGGGTTAAGAAACAGTGTTGGATACTTTACACAGATCTGGAATATCATTCCTCTGTGTTTGCCATTAGAAAAGTTTCCATTGACTTTCTTATGTGTTTCAGGTTTTATGATTCCACCGTCATCAAAGTGCACACTATCATCTATTGTTACCCTCCAGCTAATAGAATATCTGACAGACACAATAGCATTCTCTAATGGAGAAACAGCATACTTACTGAAAATAAAGTGTTATTGCACAGGTTGGTTTTTATTTTGGTCATGACCTATACTCATTTAAAGCCAGCTATTTTGTTGTTGTTGTTATGTGCCATCGAGTCGGTTCTGACCCATAGCGACCCTTCATAGGGTTTCCGAGGAGCAGCTGGTAAGCTTGAACCTCTGACCTTGCAGTTCAAACGGCTTTGCATTCTGGCGCATTAACCCACAGCGCCATACCAAGAAAGCTAACTATAGGAAAATAAAAAAAAACTCTTTGTGTGAATTACCTTTATCTGATTATTTTTCTCCAAAATATTTACTATCTGTTCTAATTGTCTTGGCCTCTGTAAGACCATTAGCAATGACAGTATAAACAGAATTGACAATGTCTAACTATATTCTCACTGAATGTATGAATGAGGAGTAGTGATACTTTGAAGTAGCGTAGATTTTCAACATTTGTTTAATTTGGTTTCTGGTTGTCTTTCTAAGGATGTAAATAGTATAGTATCATCGATTTTTAAAGCCCTGTAGGCTCTTGAAGCCAGAAGCAGGTTTCACCAGTAATTGGGATGTT